CGGATTACAATTTGAAATTAATAGTTTTTTTTTTTTTTTTCCTTCTTAAATTTGGGTTAGTTTATACCTTTTTAAAGTGGTAGAAAGAGAGAGAGGGAGGCAAAGAGAGAGAGAGAAATCGATTTCCGGCCATTTTTAATTTTTTTTCGATCCGAAAATGGCGCCTAACATACCGAGCAAAAGAATAAAAAAAAATTTTTTTTGCCGGAGTCATAAATTATTCGTCCGAAAAATATTCATGTATTAAAATATATATATACGCGTCCTACCTTAAAAATCATCATCATTATTATTATTATTATTATTTTATTTCGCGGGTTAAAGTACCTGGTTCTTTTTTTTCTTTTTTTTTTTTTTTTTAATGAGTTGTAATAATTCAATAAAAACACGATGGCCTCAGTTACTCTCGAGTTAATGCCATAAAAAAAAAAAAAAAAAAAAGTTTTGCCATTATTATTATCATTATTATTATTTTTCTCATTCACGTTTCGTCCGTGTCACAAGTTCATTTATTATCATTATCATCGTACTAGTCGTTGTCGTCGTCGTCGTCGTCGTCGTCGTCGTCGTCGACGTCATCAATGTTATTAGACGAATGTTAGCTCTAGCTACCATACCCATCGTCTGCTTTTTTTTTTTTTTTTGTTTTTTGGTCGTTGTCAACTTTACGGAATTTTTTTTTTTTTTTTTTGGTTTTTTTTCGCGGCCACGCGATGGTTCGAAGGTTTTCATTCGTTTTTCTATTTATTTGTCTACACCCACGTTTATCTTTTGCGGTTTATATTACTTTTATCATCATCATCGTAATCGGTTCCTAATTCGACCCACCTTAATGACACGCACACACGCACACGCACACACGGAGCAGACGATTTTACGGTTTTTACCACAAATAACAGGCGGGGAGCTAGAATTATCGACGGTTGGTTGGGTCCTTGGCGGCGGCGGCGGCGGCGGCGGCTACTACCCATGGATAACAATCCATGGTTTGGCGGTCGCCGCGTCACGGCGATTTTCGCGGAGGCGCGAGAGAAAAAGAGAGAAGATAACAAAAGAAAGAAAGAAAAATTTTCTTCTTCTTCTTCTTCTTTTTCTTCTTAACCGAAAGACGAAAAAGTGAAAGTTGAAAAAACAAACAAAAAATTGCAAAAAACTAGTTTTTCGATTTTTTTTTTTTTTTTTGAAATTTAAAAAAAAACGAAAAAGATCAAATAAAAAAAATAAAATAAAAAAATAAAACCAGAGTGAAGAAACACCGGAGACGAAAGAGAGAGAGAGAGAGAGTTGTTTCATATTTAATTTCTCTCTCTCTCTCTCTCACTCATAATATTGGATTAATAATAATAATAATAACGTGGAAAAAGAAAAATAATATTAATAACGAAAAGAAAGAGAGAGAGAAAAAAAAAACCATCATTAGACTCGTTAATTTTCTTCTTCTGATTCTCTTTCTTTCTTTCTTTTTTTCACTCTCGATTTTTGCTACGGTTTAAACTCTAATCGTTAATTTGCTCCGACGTATGGAATCATTTTTAAAAAAAATTGTTTTTTTTTTTTTTTTTGCTTTTTTTTTTGCTATTAATCAGATTTCGTTTCGATTTGAATTTTTTTTTTTTTTCCGTTAAATTAAATTTCGTGAGTTTAAAAAACGAAAAATCTTTTGCTGCGGGTAAAAAAGAACAAACAAGCAAACAAACAAACTAACGGTATTCTTTTTTTTTTTTTTTTTGATTTACAATAATCGTAAAATCGTTTGTCTGTTTGTTTGTTTGTAAAGAATTTTTAGCGAAAACAAAAAAAAAAAAAAAAATTCTTTTGTTTTTTTCGAATTTCGCGTTCGTTCTTTTTCGTACGTGACGTAAACGTTTAGTTAAAGTTAGCAAAGGTTAAAAAGTTATTGACACGACTACTACTACTCGCACGAAATAAACTTGAATTAAAATAATGATAATAATAATAATGAAAAATGTATAAATTCTCTTCCTTTTGTTTTGTTTTATTTTTTTTTCCCGATCATTTTCATGACAGTAAAACATGAGTTCGCAAACGATTCTCTATTTATTATCATCATCATCATCATCATCATCATCATTATTATTATTATTATTATTAATAGTTCGTGAAGAGATTGCGTGTGTGTGTGTGCGTGTGCGCGTATTTTTTTTTTTTTACGCACGTTCGTTTCGCGATTCCGCGTTCGATATCGTCATAAATTCTAAAACGTCCTAGGTATCTTCTGACGAGGGAGGGGAGGAGAGGAGAGGGGGAATACTTCGTAAGGTTTTTTTTTTAGTATCATACGTCATCGTCGTCGTCGTCGCCGCCATTTTGAAATTCCGTGAAATTTCATATTGATTTTTTTTTTCGTTTCCGAGATTATTTTCGATTTATAAAATTACAGCTGGATCAGCAGCATCCGGTTAGTTAATTATAAGAAATACGTAAAACGAGATTCTTTTCTCACATCTCTCCTACGTTTCATTTACGTTTCCGTTTATTATTATTATTATTATTTGTTTTTCTTTGATCGATTTTTTCGCGGCGGTTCATTCGTTAAATTTTTACATATTAAAATTCAATAAGAAGGCCATCCTTCCTCCCTCCTCCCCTTTGTCTTCCTTATTTTTGCCAAAATTAATTTTTTTTGAATTTAAAACGTTTCGCGCTTTTTTTTTTTAAAAAAAAAATCGTTTAAATTTCGAATGTACGTTGAATTTTAAATAATAATAATAATAATAATAATAATAAATTCGTTACCGTGAAAATCGTTAACGAGAGAAAAATAATAAAATGAAAAAAAATTTTTTTTTTTTTTTTAAACAAACAAACTCGTCTCTCTAATGAAACAAACAAACAAACAAACGAACAAACGAAGAAACAAACAGGCAAACAATTTTTTTTTGTACGCACCGTCAGTCAATCAGTCAGTCAGTCAGTTTTGTCGTAAGCGAATGAGAATATAATAATGATAATGATAATGACGATAAAATTTTAAAAATTACTCGCGTGTAACAAAGTTTACGTGTAATAAATAAATTTAATAATAATAATAATAATAATAATAATAATAATAATGATAATGATAATGATGATAATGATATTTTTCTTCTTCTTCGACACCTGACAAACGAGACTCCCTTGGAAATTTTTCGGTTAAACACGAATTTTAATTAGGTACGTGTGACAAAGTTAAAACTTTAATTACATTCAAAAATTTTTTCGTTTGTTTTGTTTCCCTCCCCTTCCCCCTTCCCCCTCTTCTCTTCCATTCACCATCTCGTAAGCTCAACATTTATTGGAACGGTGGTATCATCATCATCATCATCATCATCATCGTAATCACGATCGCGTTTCTTATCATTCGTTAGTACGGGAACCTGAATACGATGTCAGGTAGTAGTAGTAGTATGCAGTACGCCTTTTTTGCGATTTTTTCTCTCTCTCTCTCCTCCCCCCCACTCTATCTCTCTTTAGAAGCTCGTGCTTGCTGTGTAAGATTATCATCATCATCATCATCATCATCAATTTTTTTTTTTTTTTTAGTTCGCGTTTTTCTTTTGTCTAGACGATTTTTATTTGATTTTTATTATTCGCTTAAATTTCATTCTCGCTCTCTCTCTCTCTCTTTCTCTCTCTCGAACGAACCCAATTATTATTATTATCATTATTATTATCATTATTTTATTTTTATTTTATTTTCACGATACTGCGGTATTAAAATGGAATGAAATTCCAAGAGATGAATGATGAAAAATTCGAAAAGGGAATATGGAGTAAGACAAACGCGGGGGGAAAGAGGAAGGGGAAGGAAGTGAAGAAAGCAAATAGGTCGGTAGAAGGGAAAGAGGAGGGAGGGGGAAAGGGGGAGAAGGCGAGAGAAAATAAAGCTCACGGCATGTCCGCGAGTGTTGATTTTCCACCTCCCCTCCATTCCCCTCCTTCTTTTCTTTTGTTTTTTTTTTCTTTTTGGGGGGGGCCTTTGTTGTCAAGTTTGTCGTCTGCTTAAACCGGAACAAAAACACGTCACGAAATGGATAATGAAATCTTTATTGTCCGAGGTGGTGACGATGATGACGTATGACGTCTAGACTCACGGTCAAATAATTTCGAACGCGCGCTTTTTTCGGTTGTTTGTTTAATTATGGTTGTTTATGTTTTTTTCGCCCCCTTCCCCCCTCCCCCCGTTTCTACTTGCTCCCTTATTAACTCTCTCTCTCTCTCTCTCTCTATGCCTACAGATTTTGAACAAAGAAATTCATTTGAAACACGGAAAACTTCATCATCATCATCATCACGATGAGAAAAAGGAAAATGGCGGAGGTGGTGGTGGCGGTGGGGGCGGGGGCGGGGGCGAAGATGACGACGACGACGATTCCGATCACGTGATTTTCAGATACAAATGGTTGGAAGATGACATAATTAAATCGGAAAAAGAATTCGAAGGAGTAGAAGATGACGAATATCCGGATACGGGTAAAAAAGTTAAACTTCCCGGAGGATGCGAACTCACCGAAGATCAATATTACGAATTGGAATCCTTTAAAAAGGAAACCAATTACGTTAAAAAATGGTAAACGAGAAAGAAAGAAAAAACCGTTATTTTCTTGTTTATTATCATTACCATTATCATTATTATTATTATTTTTTTTTTTTTTAATTTCAGTTATTGCGAAAACGGCGGAGTTTATTGTCAAATTCACAGATCTCTTTTCAAACACAAAATCGTTTAATATAGAGAATAAAAAAAAAAGCAGACGACGCATTTTTTTTTTTTTTTATCAAAATCCGAGTCGACATATTATAAAAAAAACTTTAAACTTTTAAAAAAATTAAATTTTTTTCCTATTTTTTCTTTTTTTTCTCTCATCCATTTCGAAAAAAGCAAAAGTGAAAGGGAGTGTGGGGGAGGAAGGGAGAGGAGGGGAACGGGTGGAAAATGCGGAAACGGGAAAATAATAATAATCATTATTAAATTTCATTGAGGGAAATGGAAGGCAAAACATTTTGCAAGTTGACAAACATTTGAAAAAAAAAAAAAATGTTTTGTTTTGTTTTTAAAAAGTAACGGGGGAAAATATCATTTTCATTTAAATTCAAATAAAAACAAAAAGAAAAGAAACAACAACAGGAGGAAAAAAAAAACGGAAACGGAAGCGGAAACGGAAACGATGAAAAGAATTTAATTAAATTCTTCTTTTTTTTTTTGAAAAACAATCTGAGGCAAGAGCCAAAAACGAACGACCATTGAAAATACATTTAAAAAAAAAAAAAAAAAAAAAAAAACTAGGGGGGGAGGGGAAGGTAATAAAATTTTTTTTCTTTTTTTTTAATTTTCGGACTCGTTTTAATAGCCCAGAGGTTGAGGCAGGGGAGAGGAGAGCGTAGAGGTAGAGAGGGAGGGAGAATAAGAGGGAAAAAAAGGCTTAAACAGGGGGCGGGGAAGGGAATTTTTTTTCTTTTCGATTTGTGATGATTAAACGCTTAATATTATTAATTTGTTGTATATAAAAAAAATGGCTTTTCAATTAAAATTATTAATAAATAATAATAATAATAATAATAATAATAGATTGATTTATTGATTTCCCCCCCCCTCTCCCCCCGTTTTATAAAAAATTAAATCCCTGAAAATTATTTTTGTTTCCCCCTCCTCCTACTAATAAATAAATCGTATATTTTTTTTGCTTATCATCATTATTATTATTACTGTATTTCTTTAAAGTTAAAGCTCACGAAATAATAATAATACTAATAATAATAATAATAATAATAATAATAATAATAATATTAACACTAGAAATACTAATAATAATAATATTAATCGCGATAACGTTGCGAACGTGCCGAAACGATTGTTTATTATTTTCGTTTTCCCGCCATTTTTAAAACCACAAAAAAAAACTATATTGGTATAATAAGCTATCGTGTAATTAGATAAAATCAGTTTTGCCAACTTTGAAATTAAAACGTTACGTAAACAAAAATAAATAAAAAAAATATAAAAATTCTAAATTTTTTTTTTTTTTAAATTAATAAATTATTCATTAACGATGGATTTCTATTTGAAATAAATGTTGAATAATAATAATAATAATAATGATAATGATAATGATGATGATAATGATAATGTCGGGAGTGAATAAATTTTAATTATGACAGTAAAATAAACCAAAAAGAAAGAGAGAAATAAGAAAAATAAAAAATAAAAAAAAAAAAAAAAATGGAAAAAGAAAATGATTGATTTAAATTGAATAATGTTTTAAATAAATATTTAAAAAAAAAAAAAAAATTATTTTAAAACGATTAAATAATAACTTTAAAGATTTTTTTTGTTTTAGAGATATTAATCGAAACAAACGTTTTGTGTTTTTTTTTTTTTTTTTTTTTTTAACGTAAGTCAACATTAAAATATAATTTCATGGAGAGAAACAGTTTCCTAACAATCACATTCGAATACACAGCCATGATTCAGCAATTTGCCCAAAAAAAAGAAACAAATCATCGCTTAAACATTTTTTTTAAGATTATGTTTTCAAGTTAAAAAACATAATGTCTTCCTGAAAGATTTCAAAACACAAAACATAACAGACACAATTATTTCTTTTTCCAGGTATTTTTCGTAGTCGCAATAATTTCAATCACACTCAACGATTCAAAGAAAAAAAATAAATAATAAAAAAAAAAAAAAAAAAAAAAAGAAATGATTATGTGAAATTTCAAATTAAACATGATTCAAATCGATGAAAATTTTTTTTTCTGTATCATTTACACATTTGAAAAACAAAAAAAAAGAAAAAAAAACTCTCGAGGCTGACACTTTTTTTTTTCCTCTATCAAAACAAACAAACAAACAAACAAACAAACAAACATTTTGTTATCATCAAAAAATGGATATCGAAAATTCATCGGTAAGTCATAAATTATTTATTGGAATAATTTTCTTTTTCGAACGCAAGAAACCCATAATTACTCATGTAAATCTTATTCGGAAATACTTTTACTTAAAAAAAAAAAAACCTCATGCTTTTTCTTTCGTAATGTTATCAACAAACAATCGCTCAAAAGCCTGCCTCGATTGATTCAAAGTCCATTTTCGAATGTAAAAGTGAATAAAATTTCTCATTATTATTATTATTATTATTATTATTATCGATTTGTTTTTTTTTTTTTTTTTGGTTATGTTTGTGTTTTCATTTTAAAAAAATTTTTTCCTTTTTTTAAATTCAAAACTGTTAATCTTTTGACTAACAAATATTTTCATTCATTTTTTTAATATAACATTTTAGTCGATAGTATGCGTTCATTCATATGATTTAATGCTCGAGAGAATAAAAACATGATTTATTATTATTATTATTATTACATTTTAGCGAATGAGTCTTCGCCTGTCAAAGTTCACGAGTGTTTTGGCAAAAACAGATGGGAGACATAAGACATTTTCGGAAGATGAAAATCTACCAAGTTTACCACTCCCAGACATACAACACACATTAAATCGATACCTTGATTCAGTCAGACCATTCGTGTCTCATGAAGATTTTTCAAACACATATGAAATTGTTAAAAAATTCGAACAGGGACCCGGTTTGTTGTTGCAAAGCAAATTAAGGAAAAAAGCAGAAACTGAAAAAAATTGGGTAAGATCCTTTTTTTCATTTTTTTTAAACCTTCATCGAATACAAAATTAAATGAGAGAGAAAAAAAAAAAAAAAAAAAATTAATTAAATTAGATTGAAAAATGGTGGGAAAATTGTGCTTATTTGGAGGATAGGAAACCCCTTTTGCAAACGAGTACAATGAATGCTGTTTTACCCAAGGACATACTATCCTGGACCTACGGCTCTGAAATGGATCAAATTAAAGTTTGTAAAATTTTGTAATTTTTCAACCGTTTTTCAACCTCATTTTTCCTATCGAAATTTTCCATTCTTTCTTTTGCTCGTAGCATGCATCTCTTTTCGGATATCATCTTGTTAAATTTTGGAACGCACTTCGACGTGAAGATTTGCCACCCACTCAAACATCAGATAAACAAACATACTTCAGCATGAATCAATATAAAAAATTATTCAACACCGTTAGAATACCGGGAGAGGAAAAAGATTTTCTCATGTGTTATTTCAAAACAAGTTAATATCAATTTTTTTAAATGTGGCGTCGCTACGAAAAAAACCCCCAATTCAATTATTTTCGTAATTAAAATGTTTTTTTTTTTTTTTTTTTTTTCGATTTAGTGACCGAAGGAACGTGTCCGAGCACCGTGATAATACTGTGTTCAGGAAGAATATTTTGTTTGAGCATTCAAGTGAACAATAAAAGTTTCATGAGTCTTCAAGACTGGGAAGGAAAAATAAAAACGATATTGAAAATGTGTTCGAGATCTAACAGTAAAAGTCAATCGTTGGGATTGTTAACGTGCGATTTCAGGCATAATTGGTTTAAGGTGGCACCACGACACGAAACCTTAAAAATACAATCGTACGACCCATACACGACACCGAACCAAATTTTTTTATTTATTTCTCATTGCAGAATCGAAAGTATTTACAAGAAGTCAGCGAAAAAAATCGAGAAATGTTGGGAATAATTGAAAAAAGTTTATTCGTGCTCATTTTGGACGATGCGACGCCCGATGTCGATGCCGAAGTATTGAATTCAAACATCGGTGAAAATTATAAAAATAGATGGGCCGATAAATCCATGAACATAATCATTTATAAAAACGGTCGAATCGGTACGCTCAGTGACGTAAGTAGCAGAAGACGCGCAGACAAAGTACTATTCCCTCACCCCCGCCCGCACTCTTCTGGGAAAAATGAAAAGTTTTTTTATGTCATTCAGCACACAGCATTCGATGGTATCGTCGCATTGGGTTGCCTTAATTTTGTCGTCGCATCTATCGACGAGAATAAAAAAGAAAATCCGAAATCGAATCGTAAAAATACTCAAAGTGTAACAATGGACGAAATGATATTCGATTTGGACGATAGATTAATAGAAGAAATTAATTGCGTTGAAATCGATACTGCCGTTTACGTGAGTTTAACGTTTTGTTTTGTTTTGATACGACCATGACGTGGAAAGAGATGAAATACTGATTGTTTGTTTGTTTGTTTGTTTGTTTCGACAGAAAAACGATGTTTTGATGGGACAATATTTATTCACGGATTTTGGTAAAAACGAAATACAAAGGATGCAATATCATTCGGATACATTCGTACAAATGTGTTTGCAATTGGCATACGTCGCACTTCACGGTAAACCTGGTCCCTGTTACGAAACGGCAACAACGAGAAAATATTACAGGGGAAGAACGGAAACGTTGAGAGCGTGCACGATCGAATGTTTGGAATGGGTGGCAACAATGTTGGATAACAAATCGGCCGTAATGTTTCCCCTCCCCTACCCCCTTCTCCCCACCCCTCCCATCACCCCCCGCCGCCGCCGTTAAACAATTTCCTCTTTTTTTTGTTTTTTCCAGAACGAAGAAAAAAAAATATTGTTGGAAAGAGCATTTGCGAAACATGAAAAATTAATGGCGGAATCGAGGGAAAACAAAGGTTGCGATCGACACATGTTGGGATTGTATTGCGCCGCGATGGAAGAAAAAATTAAAATACCAGAATTTTTTTTAGATCCCTCCTACACCAAAAGGTTTCATACTATTTCGTTTAACTCCCCTCCACCTCCCCCCTTATTTATTTATTTATTAATTTTTATTATTATTATTATCTATCGGCAGTGGCGGAAATGGGAATTTCGTACTGTCGACGAGTTGTACGGGTTACAGCTTGCTGGGAGGAGGCGTGGCACCAATGTGCGACAACGGTTACGGAATTTTTTACAACATACTTCCGACGAGGTAAAAACGCGGATTTACCCCATATTTAAATCCCCGATCGCGGCCCGAATCATTTTCCTCACATTTTCTTTTTTTTTTTTTTTTTCTCCCCACAGCATAAATTTCGTCATGTCCGTAAAGGAAAACAACGAAGAAACAAACATGTCAAAATATTACGAATGTTTAAAAGAATCGCTACGAAAAACTCGAGACGTTATTTTATATTCGAAAATGTCAAAACTTTAATAATAATAATAATAATAAAACAAAATATAAGTTTAAGCGATATCGAATTTTTTTTTTAATAATGAGAAAAAAAAACGAACAAACCGGAAGTTAAAATGTCGTTATAAAACGGTTTTTTTTTTTTTTTTCAAAAGGTGTCGGATTTGGTTTAATATAATTGGGTTGTTGTTGTTGTTTATATAAATTATTAGCTTTGTCACCTTTTACAAATACAATTTTCCTAACCTTTTCCAAATCGGAAATAAGTCGAAATGAGGAAAAAAATCGTGTCAGAAGAAAGAAAAAAAATTTTAATTTTACACGCCTACGGGGGTTTTTTGTCGGTTTTAACAAAATAAAAAGAAAAAATTAAGGTTCGAGTGTTTTTTTTTTTTTTTTGTGAAAATGCAACATCATTCTACTCATACTCATAGATGATGAAGATGAAAATGAAGATGAAGATGATCAAGAAGAAGAAGAAGAAGAAGATGAAGAAGCGAAGACCCGGATTTTAAAATTTAAAAAAAAAAAAAAAAAAAAAAAAAAAAAAACGTAAATTCGTGTCAAAAACAAAAGAAAAAAAAAAAAAAACTTAAATTTCATTATTAAATTTTTTTTTCGCGTCGATATCGAATCGTTAATTAACTCGTTCGTTAAATAAAATTACTAAGAATTTCTCTCTCTCTCTCCCCTCCCCGCCCCCTCAAAAAAAAAAAAAAATCATAGAATAAATAAACGTATATACAAAACAACGTGGTTAACCGATAATTTTCATCCCGTTTAAAAAACGCAAACGTATTTTTTTTTTTTTTTTTTAAGGGTTGCATGCCCTGGATTAAATTCTCGCGGTTTTTTTTTTTTTTTTTTCGAGACGTAATAATAATAATCATCATCGTTCCAAATGCTACCAACGTGAAATTCCAAAAAAAAAAAAAAAAAAAGGGAACAAATTTTACGAGTGAAAGTTTTGCCCCCATTTTCACTTTAACATCTTCCGCGTGAGTTTTATAATTTTTTTTTTTTTTTAACATTTTCCATTTCATTCTCGCAATTAATTTATATATAAAAATAATGATAATAATGATAATAATAATAATAATAATAATAATAATAATAATAATAATAATAATAATAATAATAAAATTTTTTTTTCTTCTCTCGAAAATGAATAAAAATTACTTTACGAACGTGTATTTATATGAAAAAAAAATTAATAACGACACACATACGAATAATTTTCCTTCCCCTCCCCCTCCCCCTATTATTATTTTTTTCTCACAAGTTGGCAACTTGTAACGAACGTTTTCTTCTCTTTTCTCTCTCTCTCTCTCTCTATTATTTTTTCCCACCCACCCCCCAATTCAAATATTCGGAATTACGTAAATAAAAACAATTAAGGGGTTCTACTAATCGATCGATTAATCGATTAATCGAATTTAGTTTGTTTTTCACCGGTAGAACGCGTTACCCGCGTTATCCCCCGACAAAAACGACGAAAACGTTTTAAAAAAAATTTTCAAATGAAAAAAAAATGGAAAACATTTTAGAAAATTCGTTAAAAATTTTTTTTTTTTTTTTTTTTTCAAACAAATCATCGAAAGTCACGACGGCCATTTTTTATTTTATAAACACGTTTTTTTTTTTTTTTTAAACATGTATAATAATAAATAATTTATCGTTTGTTGTTGTTGTTGTTGTTGTCTATGGTCATAATTTTTTTTTTTTTTCAAACTCGTTTTTTATTTATTGAAATTAATAATAATAATAATTCAATTGTAAAAAATCATTTTGACCTTTCCAATCATCATCATCATCATCATTATTATTAAATTTTTCTTTTTACATAAATTTCCCCCAAAAAAAATAAAAAATAAAATACGTGATTGAATTTTTTTTTAAATTTTATTTTAAGTTAAAATAATAGCAAAAAAAAATTCTCACGATTGGGAAAATTTAATTATAGTCGAACAAATAAAAAAACAAATCGAATAAAAATTTTTATAGTTTTTAAAAGAAGAAGAAACAGGAAATAGATAAAAATAATTTTTTTTTTTTTTTAAATTTTTTCACGGTTTTAAATTTTAATTAACCCCTTTTTTAATTTTTGCTATCGTTAAATGAATTTTTTTTTTTTTTTATTTTGAAATTTTATATAATCGCATTTGGATTTTCTCACAGGAAAAAAACAAAAATTTATCGCCCAAAATATTAATAAATAATTCGATTAAAAATTTTTTTTATACCAACGCGTTTGTACGAATCATTTGAACCCCAGCAAATTTTTTTTTGCGCTTAGAATTATTTCAAAAAAAAATTATTTAAATAAATACATTTATTCGAATGAGAAAAAAAATGTCGTAATGTCGAGGAAAACGATATTTGAAAATTTACACGAGCGCAAAACCTTCTTTCCCTTATTTACCGCAAAAAAAAGAATAAACGACAGCAAATTACATATAAAACAGACTCTTATTCACTCTCTCTCTCTCTCTTTTTTTCTTTCTCATCATCTCAAACAGGAAAAAGAAAAAAATTTAAATAACTTTTGCTATCGTCGAGAATTTTTATTACTTTTTTTATAAATTTTTTCACGGTTTCAAATTTAATTACCCCCCCCCCCTCTTTTTTTTGCTATCGTTAAATGAATTTTTTTTTTTTTAAATTTTATATAATCGCATTCGAATTTTCTCACAGGAAAAAACACAAAAAAAAAAAATTTATCGACAAGTAAATTAATAAAAAATTCGATTAAATTTTTTTTACCATCGATGCTTTTTTCTCAACGAATCATTTAAACCCCAGCAAATTGTTTTTGCGCTTAGAATTATTTCAAAAAAAAATTATTTAAATAAATACATTTATTCGAATAAAAAGAAAAAACAAAGTGCCTGAGGAAAAACGATATTTGAAAACCTACACGGGAGCAAAACCTTCTTTCCCTTATTTACCGCAAAAAAAAAAAATAAACGACAGCAAAATACATATTTTAAAAAAAACCTCACGTTTTCTCTCACTTTCTTTCTCATCATCTCAAACATGAAAAACAAAAAAAAAACGAAAAAAAAAATTTTTTAACTTTTGCTATCGTCGAGAATTTATATTCCTTTTATAAAAAATTTTTGCTGTCCGTAATTGTTTTGTTAAAAAATTTAAAAAAGAAAATTTTCATGTTCATATATACAACAATCAAAATTTTTTCACTTTTTCGTATTTAATTAAAATGAATTTTCTTAAAAAATGACTTGCATAAGTTAGTAATGAATAAAAAAAATTCAAATCCGGCTTATTCGTGTTTTCGTAATAAAAAAATCATGATTAAGATGCTAAGAAAGTTTTTTTTTTTTTTTTCTCGTTAATTTGCTTTTATTTTCTTTTTTTCCTAATTCCAACCTACTTTCCCCCCCTCCCCTCCCCCCTTAAAAATAATAATAATAATAATAATAATAATAATAATTGTTGTTGTTGTTGTTGCAGTTATAATTCGAAAAGAAAAATTTTAATGCTTTTTTTTTTTTTTTTAGGTTCCGGCCATTTTTTTATATTTTTTTTGGGACCTCATCATTTGGGAAACATCGTTTGTTGTTTGTTGTTTGTTTGTTGTTGTTTTTGTCGTTATTTATATATAATATAATAATAAAATAATAATTAAAATAACATTTTAACAACAATGACTTATAGTTATTTTAACAAAAAAAAAAATAAAAAATAAAAAATTGACTTTCCATTAAAATATTTTAATGAAATTTTTTTCCTCTTTTTTATTTTTTTATGTTTTTATTATTATCATTATTTGGCACAAAAGAATTTGTAAACAATTAACATTAAAAACATAAAACATACATCAAATACGGATAAATAAATGAGTAAACAAACAAACGAACAAACAAAAACGAACAATAAAAAACAATTAAAATAAATTTTTTTTTTTTTTTGTAAAATTTATTTTTAGGCGTGAAATTTTTGTTGTGACTGGATATGATAATAAAAATAAATTTTTTTTTTTTTTTTTTTTTGACGAGTCATTACGTTGTTTTCACGTGTGAAAATATTGATGATGATAATAATAATGATAATGATAATGATGATAATAATAATAATAATAATAATGATAATAAATTCCACGGATTCCGAACAGAGAATTTTTTTTTTATTTAATTCTCAAATTATCGATATCGAAAAAAATCGGGACAAACTACAAAAAAAATTGTAAATTTTTGGGGGGAAATTCCTTCCCCTCCTCCTCCCTCTTCGTCTCCTTACGACAATAATAATAATAATTATTATTATTATTTATTTAATTTAATTTGTGTGGTAAATTAGGGAGTAATGAAGTTGAAAAAAATTAAAAAAATAAAAACGGATAAAAAAAGTTTCTACTGACACGAAATCTAATTAATCGGGATTTGATTCTTTCCCGTAAAAAAAAAAAAAAAAAAAAAATTTGTCGGTATCGTTACTGCCACGTTAAAAAGGCGGAAAATAATTTGATATAAAGCAAAAAAATTTTTTTTTTTTTTGTATTTTTAACAACAACAACAAAAAAGGACAAAAAAAAAAAAATAATTTTATGTGCGAATCGTAATTTTTTTGCCACGGTCCCTTGTCACTTCTTTCCCCCCCTCCTCTCCCTCCCCCCACAAAAAAAGACAAATAATTATGCGAAACGAATTGTTTTTCTTTTTTCCTTTCTTTCTTTATTCAGGTTTTTATGTAGCGAATTATGCCGCGCGTTGGGAGCAAAAGGCCATACGAAATTATCGTTTTTCCCCCTTTTTTTTACCCGACGATTATTTTAAAAAAAAAAAAAAAATGTCAAGTTCTAACAACAACAACAACAACAACCAACCAACCATTCGCACAACCCCCCAATCCTCTACTTCCCTCCCTTCTCCCCGATTTTAAAAATAAAACAAATTTAAAACTTAAACAAACGCACATTCGAATTAGAGAAATACAACATCCCGTAAATTAAACGTTTTATACAACCTCTAATAATAATAATAATTAACAAACGCATTCGC